TGTATACATTAATGTTTACTCTGAGAGGACAATAAAATCAGGAAATTGCAGACTGAACTTCCTGGCTTATTTGATGATAGGAACTAGGAAGTTTCCAGAATAGAGGCTATGAATTTAGCAGCTGTTTTCATGCCAATAGGCAGCAAGAGAGAATGGAAAAAGAGTAGAGATGCAAGGAGTGAAGTGGAAGCTTTTATAAAAAAATGGATCTCATCATACAAATGGGGAAAGGACCTGCGTGTACATAAATATTCATAGCAGCAGAATTGGAAATTGAGAGGATGACCATCAATTGGGTAATGGCTGAGCAAGTTGTGGTATATGAATGTAATGGAATACTATTGTGTTATAAGAAATGATGAACAGGCTGACTTCAGAAAAACCTGGGAAGACTTATATGGTCTGATGCTGAGTGAAGTGAGCAGAACCAAGAGGACTTTGTACACAATAACAGCCACTTTATGAGATGACTAACATTGTTAAGCTGAACCCTTCTCAGCATTACAAGGATGTAAGACATCTCCAGAGGCCTTGGGATGGAAAATGCTGTCCACATCCTAAGAACTATGGAAGTTGAATCGCTATCACTTATTTTTACCTTCTGTTGTTTTGTTTCATCTTTCTGATGGTTCCTCCTATTGGTTTTAATTTTTACTTACAACTTCACTAATGTGAAAATATGTTTAATAGGAATGTAAATGTAAAACCTATATCAGATTGTGCGCAGTCTTGAGGAGGGTGGGGGGGAGGAAGGGGGAGAAAATTTTCAACTCAAAAGAATATGGAAGTGATTGTTGATAAATCAAAATAAATTAATAAAAAAAATTTTTTTAATGGATCTCAGAAAACATGAGAAAGCTAGAGGCCCACTGGTGATAGGACACAAGGGAAAGAAAAAGATTTGACTGGGCTGATTCAGTCACTAAGGGGAGCAGACTTGTCACCTGGTAGCTTCCTATTTTAACTAATTATTTTTGTTAGTTAAGCTTTAAGTTAACTTGTTCTCCCTGTTGGAGTACAAATACTTGAAGGGCCCTGTAATATTTCAGTTTTCTGGAGAAAGCCCCAGTCACCTCAAGTCAAGTTAAGGGAGCATTCATTAACCACTTATTATATGCCAGGCACTGTGTTAAGCACTGGGGATACAAATATAAACAAAAAAGAAAAATATACCCTGCCTTCAAAAAACTTAACTTCTAATGAGGGAAGCAGACATGAAAAACAATTGAAAAGGTGGAATGTGGGGAAAATAACTGCACGGGGCATGACAGAGAAAGAAATCCAGACAGTCAGGAGCAGAGCTGAATGAAGAATGAAGAAGAGTGAAAGATGGATAGTTTGAGCCTAACCTCAAAATGGAGGTTTCAGGAGAATCTTACCAATGTGAGAGAGGGGTGATAGGGGCAGAGGGAATCTCCAAGATAAGAAGGCAGCTGAGGTGTGGCAAAGTCTCAGGACTCAGAAGCAGAGACCAAAGAAGAATGAAGCATAGTTGCCCTAGGCCTTCTTTCAAAATGGAGGTTCTGGAAGCATCTCATCAATAGGAAAAGATGGTCTGAGAGATCTTTCAGGGTAAAAAGGCCATAGGGACAGAAGGAAATTTCAGGATGAAAATAGCTTACCCAGGACTGAGAAAGGTGCTAGAGTGAAGACAAGCCTAGGATTATTTCTGTGACTGGAGCAAAATCCAGGGAATTCGAGTTATGGCTAGGCAGCTCTGTAATAAAATGGATAGATAGAGTACCAGGCCTAGAGTCAGGAAGACATTTTCCTGAGTTCAAATCTGGCCTCAGACATTTACTAGCTGTATGACCCTTGGCAAATCACTTAACCCTGTTTGCCTCAATTTCCTCATCTGTAAAATGAAAAGGAAATGGCAAACCACTCCAGTATCTTTGCCAAGAAAACCCCAACATGGGGTCATGAAGAGCTGGACCTGACTGAAAAACAACTCTGAGTTATGGCTCAGGCAGCTATAGACAAAGCACTTCTGAAACACAACCCCACTGATCATACCTGGGGTTTGCTTTCTTGGAAACCAAGAAAAGTGAGTGTTAGCTCTGCTTATAGGATTGGGGTAGGAGGATCAATTAAGATATGGAATTGGAGATGGTTGCTGGTGTTAAACTGAGCCAGAGTAAAATGAATAATGATATTATGCTTGTAATTATTTCTTTTAATATAATCTGTAGTCAGTATCAAAACACTGTTTTTGGAATGGCTGCATTTGCAGTTAATGAGGACTGCAGGGATGGGGAAGGGTGTGACCAGAGAGGACACTGCAGGAGAAGTGAAGGGTCTAGGAGCAGCTAGGTGGCGTAGTGGATAGAGCACTGGCCCTGAAGTCAGGAGGACCCTAGTTCAAATCTGGTCTCAGACCAAACACTCAACATGTACTAGCTGTGTGACCCTGGGCAAGTCACTTAACCTCAATTGCCTTAAGAAAAAAAAAAGAGAAGTGAAGGGTCTCAGTCTTTGAAAGAGAAACACTTACTATTGCCTTAGGGTATAGAAACAGGGAGTCATGTGGTATAAGTGCCTGAGAAACCCTATGTTGGGCTTGGTTCAGGTAAGGGGAGCCTGGTGCTGGTGGGGACTCATTTGGTCATTGACCATATGAAGTGTATGTGTAAAGATATCCTTTCTTTATCTCCTCTCTGTTGATTTTATCTGTTAAAATTATTATGAGCTCTAATCCCTCAGCAAGGAGGGGGAGGAAAAAATCAGGCAAGATAACTTTCCTGGATGTTTGTGGTTTCCTCCATCACTTTGACCTTTCATAGTATAAGCTGATATGCAGGATGTGCTTCGTTTTTATTATCTCATTGGGACTATCACGCAGGTTTATAGAGACATCAAGCCCTTTGTGGCATTTTTTTTTTGCCATACTTTAATATTTTATCAATAGCATCTGGATAATCTTTGAGTTGTTGTCTGATGATAATTAAATCATTTTAAATTGTACCAGAACCCTATTTTCCTATCTGCACCATTTGGAACATATGTGAATGAATGGAACACCGCTAGCTACTCATCAGAGCCCCTCCCTCTCTCTTTCTCTCGTTAGCTCACACTCACTTTCTCTACACACACACAAACACACACACACACACACACACACACACTGTTTGAATCAGTGACTAAAACAGCTCAGAGCTTGGGTAAAGAACAATGCTGGGAGTTATTGTGCAAGATCTTCCAGCTTCGGTGCTCTCATACCGGAGCCAAAACCTACCCAGTCCACCAACTGCGGTCCTATCCTCTGATCTTTGTCATGCAAATGGACTAGACAAGAAGGCCTTTAAAGATTTTTTTCACTCATGATTTTTATGCATTTTCAACTTGGATCTTCAGCAATATCCAGTAGAGAGTTTGAGCAAACCACTAATTATCCAAGGATGACCCATGTCTACCAGGCCTTGCACACAGTAGGTTCTTAATGAACGTTTGGTGAATTGAATTAACAGAGCTGAATTGATTGGCATCCATGGTTAAAGTTTCTGAACCCTTTTGACATAGCTAAGACCACATCTTAACACAGGAGAAAGCCTATTTCCTGGCAAAATGGGTCTTTTTTCCCCCATGCTCTAATTGAGCAATAGGTATTAAAAAAAAAATTAAAAGTTAGTCCTACAGTATCCCAAAGAGAAACCTCACCAAGAAGGATGGAGTGAGATGCCTGGCTGCCAGAGAAAGCTAGTCCCGTAGTGAAGAAGGCCCAGTCTCCAGCCAATTTAAAAAAAAAAGGCTTAAAAGCTGTTTTAAAGAAACAATTTAAACCCAGCTGTACTTATCAATCAGTTGTTTGATTTTTCTTTGTTATGAGGAATTTGTAATCTACTTTAAATTTTGTTTGTTTGTTCCTGGCTTTCATTGATAGCAAGTTGTGCCTGAGGCTACTTCTCAGAATCCTTCACTGGACTCTACCGACTTAAATTTCCAAATCTATGTGAATAATTGCAATAATTTGAATCTCAGTTTTTCCTCCTCCTCCTGCTCCTCCCTTGCAGGCAGATGGAAATATTAGAATTTCACAGAAATTTTTATAAAACTTTGGTAAATCCATATTCTATTAAAAAAAAAAACAAGAAAGAAAATAATCGTTCATCTTAAGAAAAGAGAAGAGAAAAGCAAAGGAGATAATCCCTTTTGCAAAATAAAATACAGTTGGGGTTTTGTTTTTTCCAGTAGGTGTAGTTAGGCACAACCAATTTTTAAAATGCTCAGAACATAGAATCTGCCCAATAGCAAAAAGGCATAAATATATTGGTTGTGTGCTCATGTAAATACATATCTTATTGTATGTTAATCCTTATTTTGGTAGAAAATACATTTAACATCTTAGAATGGGAACAACCTTGTACCAAAAAGTCTTTTTTTCATAGCTTTCAGATATTATATTATATGTGCTTGTTTCATGATATTAATAGATATGATTTCATCATTAGAAAAAGAAATCCCCACAAAAGCTGACTATTGTTAATATGCTGTGGAATGTAGTTTTTGTTTTTGTTTTTCCTTCAAAAAGTACAGTTAATTTAATCATTGTCTTTGGGCACTCCTTGAACTATAGAACCAAAAATGTGTGTAAGAAAAATGTCTGGGCTTTGTTTTCTTAAATGGAATGTACATGCACATGTTAATTTTATAATATATGCATATACCTACACACTTATGATTTTTATAAGTTTATTTAGCAAGAAACCAAATATGAAAGGGAAACAGATTTTTCAAATGGAGTTTTAATTGTCTTTCTTGCATGTTCTACAGATCATTACTGACTGTTTACAGATCCTGCATGGAATGACTTTACACCAAAGGAGAGGGTAACATATCTTCATTGTTTATAAAAATGACAGCTCCTAATGGACCATATTAGCTTTAACACAAACTATTAAATCCCCTTCATTAAATTATTCTGTGTTCTATTTTGGAATCTCGTTAGCTCTGGGAAGTAGGTGCAAACTCCTAAGGAAACATGAGCACACATTGAGACTATTATAGATAATGTTTATTAAATAAGCCTCTGAGGATGTTTTTCTTGGGCTGCTCTCAAGCATTTTGAAAGAGTCATGTTCCATGTTTGAGGTCCCATGTTTCTTCCTCTTAAACTATGAGCAGCTGTAGCACATGACCTACTTCTGTAGAACCCTGTAATGATTTCCTTCCTTCAGTGGCTTCAGGAGTCCTTCTTCTGCCCTGTGAAAAAAGGGACAAATATTTTAATCCAAGCAAAATGCTAAAGCAGGGTTTGTTGGTTTCAGGGAAGAAACCCAATACAGCTACATCACTGAGTGTAGGCCTCAAATTGGAACCATCTGGGCTGCAGAAGCTCTCTGAGATCTTTGGGGAAGGCATGGATATTCTTGCCTAGGGCTGCAACTCATACACCTGCAGAAACGGCAGACATGTTAGCAGACTCATTCAGGAATGCAAGCTTTTTCACAGAACAGAGAAGCAATGCCTTAGACTAGCAGTAACTACACATCAGAGCCATTCTGAAGGTGATGTGCAAATACTCGTAATAATATTCTTAATAACCCAAGTGATCCTTAGGGAACATATTATATTCAAGTTAAGCAGAAATATAACAGATCACTACCCAATACCACTTTTTGGTAAGCATAAGGAGGGTAGGATAGTCTAGTTTGATATTGAGAAAGAGCTGGGTTTTGGAGGGGTTTTTGTCATAGAATATAAGATTGCATGAGTGGTATAAGGTTGAATGTGTGTATGCATTCTGGTATTCTTTTTATAAATGTCACTTTTCTCTCTCTCTCTCTAAGGCATTTAAAAATTGCTGGTTAGTTTTACTTTTAATTAAGTGGAGGTATTTTTTAAATGGTCCCCACTAAGTAAACCAAAGAGGACCTACTGCAGAAAGTTGTTAAAGACAAAGCAATCATTTAAATATCTACTATTACTACTGCAAATTGGGTCTACCTCTACGTGTGTGGGAGTTTGAATCAACTCTTTTCCAAATAATAATTACTAGAACCTTTTACTTAATTATCAGGTCAAAGACTAGAAATCTTATCACTTAAATATTCTAATTAAAATCCACTCCAGAAAATAACATTATCTGGAAAGAAAATGGAAAATAAGGAGTAAATTGAAATGGTGTACATGTTGCTGGTGTTTAATAAAGTACTCTTCAAATGTCGGCACATTGAAAAATATGTCATTTTTTTAGTCTATCTTCAATTTTTTGCTTATATTTTAGAGCAAGGGTTCTTAGCCTGGGGTCTGTGAATTTTTTTTTTTATATTTTGGTAGCTGTGTTTCAACATTATTGGTTTCCTTTGTAATCCTATACATTTTATTTCCTATATTTACAAACATTATTCTGAGAAGGTGTCCATAGGCATCACCAGACTGCCAGAGGGATTCATGACATGCAAAAAAAAAAGGTTAAGAACCCCTGCTTTTAAAGTAAAGAAAGGTAATGATTCCAATATTGCCTTTGTAGAAATCCTAAATAATGTGACCACTACATAAATCCTGAGAGTGGGAATTTCATGCAGATGTCAACACACAGGTTAAAGATGAATATGTTGAGCAAAAAGTCAATGGGGGGAATGGCACTGAGGGAAAATATTGAGGTGTTGTTGAAATATGAACACCAATGTGTTAGAGGGGTAAACTTACCCATTTAGTTTCTGGCTCATCACTAATGGTAGCTAATCACAGGAGGAAAAGATCACATCCAATAGCTAGAGAAGATCTATGTAGCATAAAATATACTAAATCTTCTGAAAGAATATGTATTTCTTTTTTCCAGAAAAAAAGACATTTAAATTTAACATCTAGATGCCTTCAATCCCCCCTCCCAACTTTACATTTTTGCTTTAAAATATTTTTATACTAATGTGTCAACAGAGGAAACCTATTAAATATTTTTCAGAGTATAAGAATATATATAAATATATATGTATATAATTATATCATATATATTATACATATATATGTAACAAGGCTTCCAAACATATTTTAAAGACAGCTCTCTGTGTTGCATCTCAGTGTTGGAAAGTTTCTCACATGCAGACTTTGTCACAACCCAACTGTGAAGGGTGAGGTAAAATAGTTTCAGTTGGACTCACTTCTTTTCAGATCCAAATTTATATGTGTGAATCCAAATTTTTAACCAAATCTTTGTTCTCTTTCTCTCAAGAAATTTTCACGCTCCTGCCCACGTAACCAGCTGCACGTAGCTAGCTCTTCCCACCCCACAAGCCTGACAGCCTCCACCACTGTTTCGGCAACAGGATGAGACTTAATGAAGCTCAGCACACTTCCTACTAAGCTTCCTGTGGAAAACCAGTCATATGAGACTGGGAAATGCATTGCTACAATATGGTCTGGCTTCCTCAGCCAGGAGCCAACTAAAAATCAAGTTGATAACACAGCATGGGGGCAGGGTAGTAGTTTCTCAGTATAGCTGAGGAACAATATATTGTTACCTAGAAACTAAAGCTGAGTCTTTTCCGTTTGTCTCCGGGTACCACTGAGAGAATCCCCATGAATAATGTCATTGGAACTCCATGTAAAGAGAGACTGATCTATAATTCTGAATGAGTTAATAGAGTTCTGAAAAACACTCATGGCCTGTCTTATGAGACAGAGAAATTTCTTTAGTCCTTCATTGGCCTACCCCAGTGCTAATAGCAACACTTGGCCATCTTTGTCCTAAAATTGAAATAATATCTATTTTGTTAATAAAAAAAATTGTTGCATGCTTCTCTGAAATGCCAGTTTGTAAATCAGTTTTAACAGCAGACAGGACTAGATTAATTGTTTAAATAATATTTGATAGAAAGGAGACCCTGACGGATCCAGCTATCAATTTGCTGCTTTCTATTGCTCAAAGACAACTTCAGTTGTTCAGAAGGATGTTAGGGAGTGGGCAATTTTAGTCTGATTCATGATTTGAGAAGCACATCTCTTGATTGAGAGGGGGGAAAAAGAGATCCTGCCAAGATGGTCAGGAGGTGATGAAGACTGACTTCCCAGTCCTTTGCTGCCAAATCTTAACTGCCTGAAAACTTACAGAAACGCTTGATTACAACTAGAATAAAAATCTCCAGTTGCCTTCAGCAAACCACAGCACAAGGGTGGGAAAAACAGTGCCAGGTTGCAGTTTAAGTATAGTTACTTGGCACCTGCTGAAAGCACAGTTCCCTTCCTGTTTAATAATTAATTCAACTTTAAAGCCCCCAAGGATCTGGACTCAGCACCAGCTTCAGAAAGCATTACAGAAACAAAATGCTTCCAGAACTGGAAAAAGGAGAGACAGAAAGTGAGAAAAAGGGATAGGAGTGGGAGAGGAGAGGAGAGAAAGAGAGAGAGAGAGAGAGAGAGAGAGAGAGAGAGAGAGAGAGAGAGAGAGAAATAACATTTCAAGAAATATCACACGGGGCAGGGAAGTGGGGGGAATGGAAATAGGAGGTGGAAAGAACCTGGAGATGGAGAAAGTTCCAATAATAAATATACAAAAAAGCAAGGTTATTCACGGCCACTGGCACCAAGACTGCATGCTGCATTGCAAGCCAGAAGTCATACATTTGGGAAAAAAGCTTGTTACCCCTAGGCAAGTGGAGACCAAGAGGGTAATGTGCTCAGTCTCTGGAAAAGGAGAAATCCAGCCTTGCTGTTCATTAGTATCCCCTGCTCATTAGTCAAAGAATCACACTGGAAATGGCATCAAAGGTAGTCATCCCTTCCCACTACCGCTTTCCTCCCTCTACTCCCCCACTCCTCCCCCCTCTACCCCCATTCTTCTCTTGCCGGGGAAAGTGTCAGAAAGATTCCCTGGTAGTAAGGGCCAAAAATAAGAAGAAATGGGGGAAACAGCACAAAGCTGAGAGGAAAAGGAAAGGTCTCTGAAGAATACTGGATTTGTGCATTCAGAATGGCATATAAACCAAGCAGGTTGTTTAGGTATGAATATACCATCATTACACAGTACCATACAACTGAAGTCAGGCACCTACAAAGAGGAGTTAAGTCACTGGATGGTGCTTTTTGGATTTGCACGATAAATCTCGTGCTTTCTGCTAGTAAGGAATTGCAGGCAAATCAAGCACAAGAAGTAGCACATTATAGAGGCTCAAAATAGGTAGAAACCATTAACAGGAACATCAAACCCACTTTCCCTGTATGAGGAATGAAGACTATCACCAGAACAAGATGTGTGGGTAACCACCTTTGGCCACTTAATCTTATGCCTAAACTACACGGGCTATTCTTTGATACTATCAAGCCTAAGAACATAAGTGCATTTTTAAGATATGGCATATAACATAAATTGATGGATTAATTAAATGAAGAAAAGAACTAGGTAATCCAATAAAAGATGAAAATTATTTATACACCGATCTGTGTTTACTTTCTTCTTATTAGGATAAAGGAGAAGAAGCATAAATTTCATACACACACAACATCCCTCTGGGATATGATAAGGTATTTTGAATAACACCACTCATGATATTAAAATGTTGAGCTGAATGACTAATCATCCTAAGAATTTTTCCTAAGCCTTTAAAAAAATGGGTTTTTTCTGAACATAAAATATTTAAAAAGTAAAATGTTTTTCAAAATTAGCATAAATTATTAATGCTTTACTTGCATATCAAAACTTCCTTAAAGGAAATTTGGTAGAATTATATGATCTGTTTCCATATTTATTTTAATTGAATATGTTAAAATATTTTATCCCCCCACTAAGATGATGGTGTTCTGTTCCCATCTTTTTCACTCACAATATACAAGTAACCTTGAAATTATAAAAACTATTCATCTCTAATAATACTAATAAAGCTACCCCTGCATCAATACTTTAAAACTATCCAACTAAAGTTTTGAAACTTAAGGACAATTTAGACAAATCGAGTTTCAAATCAGCATACAATTTTCAAAGTTGAAAGAGTGACTTTCTTTGTCTATATATGAAAACGGGGCAGTTAAGGTGGTGCAGTGGATAGAGCACTGGACTTGGATTCAGGAAGACTCATCTTCTTGAGTTCAAATACAGCCTCAAACATTTACTAGTTGTTTGACCCTGGATAAGGCACTTAACCCTGTTTGCCTCAGTTTCCTCATCTGTAAAAATGAGCAGGAGAAGGAAATAGCAAACCTCTCCTATATCTTTGCCAAGAAAACCCCAAAATGGGGACACAAAGAGTCTGAAATGGCAGAACAGCAACAACACATATGAAAATGTTGGCATTTGGTGTTTTGCTTTATTTATTAAACTTCAGAATCACGCTTATATGACTGCCTTCTTAGTGTTAGTCTCATAGCAAGTTTCCTTAATCCTTGATGTAGCATAGCTTTGACTATTTGGGACCCCCTAAGCTAGTGTTAAAAGGGAAACTATAGTTTGGTCCTAAATTTGCCTTCAACTCTGAAGCCTTCCCTGATTCCACTTGGCTTGGGTCACTGTATTCGCTCTTTCTTTCTCTGAAGACACATGTACCGACTGATACTAAGTGTATCTCACTTTTGCCCTAAATAATTCTTCTGTATCTTGGAGTTGATAGGAAGTTGACACTTAAAGGGGTCCTTTCTATTTAAAGGACCCCTATGGAAAATCCTTTTGTAAAACCATAAATCCTTTGATAATGAGAATAATCACCTTCTAGTTTATGTATTTGTACCCATCTCCTAGACTTGTTATGCGTTTCAGACAAAATAATGTTTACAAAGCACTTTGCAAATTTTAAGTCACTATGTATGTGTCTAGGATCATAGAATCGTAGACTGAGAGCGATAAGGGCTTTAGAGTCCAACAAGTCCAACTTTCTTGTTTTACAGATGTAGAAACTGACCCCCAGAGAGAGGTTAAATGGTTTGTCCGAGGTCACACAGGGAGTAAGCAACAGAAGCAGGACTGTCGTTATTAAAGTCATACTATCACAAGAGGTAGTATGGGGGTAGCAGAAAAAGCACTGGACTGGGAATTAAGACACATGGGTTCTAGGCCTTACTCCACCACTAACTTGCTGTGTGACCTTGGGCAAGTCATTTACACCCTCAGGTGTAAAGTGAGGGGGAAGGGTGGAACCGCTATTTTCAAATTCCCATTCAACCCCAACATTCTGTAACTATGGCAGAGTGACCGATTTGTACATATCCTTCATCCAATAAATATTGACTAAATATCTATTGTCCAGTCTCATGATTAGTAACTGTTCAGATTGGCATGTCTACCACCAAGTCTAAGAGAAATAGGGGGTACATAATGTCAGTGTTAAGAGCCCTATAAGCAATAGTACACCCAAAATAAAAAGAAAAAGCCATTGATGTGGTACTAAAAAGCGAATCACATCAGTGATGGTTCTTGAAAACATTAGAAAATATTCCTCCTGAATGTGTGTGCATAAGAGATAATGGAATAATTGACAAAAAGCAACAACTGAGGTCAGAGAGAAGTGAGAAAATGAAATTCAGACTTTAGAACGATTGACCGAACATGCATATCCTTGTCCTGAACTAAAAAGCAGTTGGATCCCATAATAATGTAGAAATAAAGAGAAGGCCCTAGAGACCTAGGTTAAAAATCAGACAAAATTGAGGAATGTCACAAACAAAAATGAACAGTAACACGATGAACTCAATGAATATGATTTGGCTGGGTCACTTAAGTTCTAAAATAAAAATGAAACATCATAGATGCAAAACCTTGATAACCTAAGCCAACTCAAGCATTCATGGGTTCAATTTGATCTTGGATCAGAAGGAAGCTGGCGAGTTTCACCCAGGCACCAGGAGTACTTCACATCAAGGCATATGCCTTAACACTCAGAGTTGGATCTAGAAAGTTCCTAATTGCCTCTGACAGTTTTTTTTAATACAATTTCATAGAAAAATAGGTAAAAACCTCTTAAGGTATTAATTTTTTTCTTAGTTTTAAACAAAATATAAATAACCTTTTGGCCATTGCCACCATCTTCCAGTGATTTACCAAAGTGACTAGAACAAAATGAAATAGAGGTGGAATACACTGGATGTTTTCTAGGTTCCTTTGCAAACATGGACTTGTTTTCTTGACTGTGTCTATGTGAATCTATAAGAAGAGTGATATTGTAAATGGGTACAAGTACAATATAGAAAGGAATGCCTCAGAATTGTTCCCATGGCAAGACTGAAAGGGTCTAAATATTATTCAGCATGCTCTGGGCATTGCTGTAAACAGAAAGCATATGAAACATTGTAAGAGCAGAAATAGCTTCCTAAAGTCTGCAAAGGAAGAAGAAAGCTGAAATGTTCCTGGGTTCAGTGGAAGCATCAGCTTGCTCTTTGTGAGCAAGCTTTGGGAGAATCAATGGAAAGGAGTCTGCATTGTTAGAACCATTCCCTATGAATTCATGGCATAACTAATTATAAAAGAATAAAGACCTTTCTTATTAAGGGAAAAGAGAAATATAAATGAAATTATAGGAGTATTTTGAAATGGCTTAGGGTAAGTCATTTCACTTTTCTGATTCTGTTTTCCCGTCTATGAAATCAAAGAGTTGGACTAAATGACCACTACTATCCTATCTAGCTCTAAATGTAAGATCATAGGAAATCTGGAGAGGCCATAGTCTGTGTTTCACTTCCATAATCTCAAGATATTCTTCTGCTCCTCTGCCAAAATGTTTTTTGATGAGTTGTCATTCTAACTTATTCTAAACTGGCAATTCCTTCTGATAAAGGCCAGATTTTTACAGCTAGTCTGTAATATAATTGGGCTAATTATTTACATAATTCCATTAAAACCCCTTTTCTTGGAATAAGTATAAAGTTTAATCTTTCCTTTTTCTAAGTTTCATCTTCCTTGATTTTGTTCTATTTTAACAATGTTTTCTGGATCAGCAGAGAACATTCACTTGAGCTTGGAGCAATTTTATTAAACATTGGGTACCACATTATTTTCTCAAGAAGCTTTGACTGAAAATTAAAAAAAAAAAAGATTGGGTATTGGTTGCTAATTCTACGTCAGGGTGACTTCTCTTCAAGGGCAATTAAATACCAGCCCCGGTCTGTTAAGTTTAGTGGCAGCTTCTCTTGTATGCGGCAACTCGTCCTCAAGGACAACTTCATTGTAAGGGATGCTGTTCTTTTACATTATGAAACTGAGGGTGCCTTCTACTCCAGACTAGCTTTTACTTGAATTGATATGGGTGAGTGTATGTATGTTCTCTGACCTTTCTTCTTTAAGAATTAAGTTTTGCATTACCAGGTAAATGCCCCTTGAGCAGAATTTTCATGGAGCACTAGTGACATCCTGTGGCCAGTCTCATTTAAGGCAGCCTCATTTTTCTCAGGCTACTTTTCAGGGAATAGAGGAGCAAAAAATATACCATATTCAATTGCTGTTTGCTTTGCAGGTCAAAAAAGAATTTTTTTAAAAAAAATTATTTTGTTCATGATTATTTTAATGGTATGGAAAATTTCTTCTCTTTATTTTTTTTTCCACAGTGACTATGGGACAAAGCAAAAAAGAATTTTTTTTTCCCCAAGGAGGGACATTTCTTTGAAACAAGATTCAGTCGAGTCAAAATATGGAAAGAATGCCATGATATTCAGAAGATGCCGCATGACAGTACCTGATTCTTACCATCTGCTCTTTTAAGTTTCTCTGTAGTTTGGCTCAACTTGCGGTACTTGCCCAAGAAGAAGAACGCTTACATTCTGGAAGGGAAAAAAAAAGCACAGCATGCTTTAAAAAGAAAAACAGTGGGTATTTTGGCATTTTTACACAGCAGATAATGCACCCATGACACTCAATTGAAGTCATTTAGTTGTAAATGCGATATTACTGTTGACAGTTTCCACTGGTAAAACACTGAGAAGTCCACGTTGAATAAACGCAAAGAAACCAAACTTGGGGAGTAAAGCCAATCACCAGAGTGGCCTACAAAGGGGCCTCATAAAAATATTTGTCAGGAGTGGAGAATCATAACTCAGCTCAACACGCATGGTACCATGAGCAACCTGCTTGGTTTTAAACAGTAGAGAGCAGGCTTTGGAGTTTATGTTGTTCTTCTGTTTATTAAAAACGGATGGGAGCACTTGACAGAAAAATCAAACTTCTGGTCATGGCTCATTAATCTCTGTTGTATCTGTCAAATATATGTGTCTAGAGTTTCAACAAGGCTCTAAAAGTGAGATTACTGCTGTGCTTTGGTATTTTCTCTAATTTTGAATGGGAAAGGATGCTGCCAATCACCTAACGGGAGAGAAGAATATGGGATCTTTGTGCCAGGGTAGTATAATGGTCAGTTGTAAATGAATCTATTTAAAAACAAAATGAATGACATTTTAGTTAATATTTAGACTATATCCTTCTTCATGAAAAGCAGCCGTTCTAAAGTGAATGCAGTATAAAATTTAAGATTACAGACATTTTCCAAAAAAAAAAAAATTGCAGAAACAGATCCATAGACATATTGCTTTTTTTTTTTTTTTTGCATATTATTCAAGCTTCTGGAGTACCTGGGCGTGGAGACGCATGCCAGGGTGAATGGTAAAGAAATTTGGGGGTCATAGTGGGATCATAGAAACATAGATTTGGATCTTGAAAGAACTTTAGAAAGCCTTCCAGTCCAAGCACTTCATTTTAAAGCTGGGGCCCAGAGAATAACTTGCTCAAGGTCACACTTGTTCGTAAGTATCAGAACCAGGTTTTGAATACAGTTCCTCTGACTCCAAATCCAGTGCTTTCCATGCACCAAGGTTCCTTTTGCAAAATCTGAATTGGAACCTTGACATTTCAAACTTAGGCTATTGGTTGGAATCATATTTTCATAAGTTAATTCAATTCAACAGGAATTTAAGTAGTTGTTATATAGAGCCCTATGCTGGGCAATGGAAAAGATTAAATAAAATTATAAAAATAGCTAGCATTTATAGAGCACTTTAAGTTTTGCAAATGACTTTACAAAAATATTATCTCATTTGATTGTCACAACAACCCTTTGTGACCTATGTGCTGTTATTATCCCCATTACAGAAATGAGGCTACTGAGGTACTTAAAGGTCAAATGACCTGCCCAGGTTCATACAGTGAGGCAGGAGTTGAACTCAGATCTTCCCAAGTCCAGGTGCAGTGCTGTTATATACTGTATCATCTAGCTGATACAGTAGGGAGTATATAAAATGCGTACATATAACCATAATGCAAAAGGGGGGGATGTAGAAGTTTGATGTAAATGAGATGGTCTAAGAGAGGTCTGAGAGGAAGCTAGGTGACTAGTAGATACAGCACTGAGCCTGAAGTCAGGAGGACCTGAGTTCAAATAAGCCTCACTCACTAGCTATGTGACCCTGGGCAAGTCACTTAACCTCTGTTTGCCTTAATCCACTGGAGAAGGAACTGGCAAACCCTTCCAGTACCTTTGCCAAGAAAACCCCATGGACAGCATTGGCATCTTGTGGGTCTGGAAGAATTGGACACTACCGAATAACTGAACAACAACAACAAAATGAGGTCTGAGGAAGAAAAGGTGATATATGATTATGATAATCAAGGAAATCTCCATGGAGCAGATGATTCCTAACCTGGGCCGTGGAGAAGGATTTTAACAGCCAAAAATATAGGAAAGAGCAAAAACGGTATTAACGAAGGCACAGGGGGCAGGAAAGTGCAGGATGTGGGTGCAGGGGGGAAGGGGTGGTGATTAAAATAGTCCAGTTTGGATCGAACACAGAAGATTCGGTGGGAAAATAAGGTTAGAAAGATAGAGTAGTGCCAAATTGTAGTGAATGAGGAAAGAAACAAGCATTTATTAAGTTCCTATTATGTGCCAAGTACTGTGTTAAGCACATTGCAAATATAATCTCATCTGATCCTCTCAACAGCAGGGGATGTAGGTACTATCATTGCCCTGCTTTAAAGATGAGGATACTAAAACTGATACAGGTTAACTGACTTTCCCAGGGTCATGCAGCTAGCAAGTTTCAGGCCAGATTTGAACTCAAGTCTCCCGGATTCCAAGCCCAACAGCCACCTAGCTACCCAAATAGGTAGGTAATAGAAAACAATTCAAAGGTTTTAAGTAGTGGAATGACAACCGGATTTGTGAATATGATCTAATAATTCCCTTGCATTTAATTAGATGACTCCTAAGATTCCTCTGAGCTCTAATATTTTATGAAGTCAGCTCTAAAACCAATCAGAAGGGCTGTCCTGGAGAAAGGGAAATAGTGAATATAGTATGGATTCAGCTTAGTGCAGAACTACAGATGAAGTCATTTGTTTACATAGAGGCTGAATTTAAAACAGAGGAGTGTGGATGATGCTTGCCCTGAGATCTTTTTCTAATTGGGTCACTGTTTGGTAGATGATAGATAGATAGATAGATAGATAGATAGATAGATAGATAGATAGATAGACAGACAGACAGACAGACAGACAGACAGACAGATAGATAGATAGATAGAAATGTGTGTGTATGCATGTGTATTATGTGTGTGTGTGTGTGTGTGTGTGTGTGTGTGTGTGTGTATCTTCCTTTGACTAAACTTCTTGGCCAAAGGAGATTTGAAATTAAGCTATTATAACTGACCAGACCCAGTTGCCCTCAGAGAAGTTTGGGTTGCAAGTAAGGTAAGAAATTACAGTAATTTTTCCCTTATAGGTCCCTTATTTATCTACACAGACTATCAAAGTATTAGTTGGAAATTTCCCCTTGCTAAGGACAAACAAAGGGTTTGAACAGGGCTGTTTTGAAATGCCTTTCTCCTATAGTCTCACTGGGCTCTTTTTTTCAAAAACTTTGCATATTCTTGTCATTCTAAATAGGTTAAGTCTAATTCAGGACCCAAATAAACCCTTCCTATAAAATGGGGGGTAGGGGTGGGGAAGCCTCTTAGATCTCAAACGTTTTTTTTAACAAGACCACAATATTTCACTAACACTCACTGTATCTTATTCACAGAAATGATGCACTGAGAGCTATGAGCAGTGGTATTCTAAAGAAGGGTCACTACTGTGAGCCATATTTTCAATTAAAAAAAATGTTTCTTATTTGCCCACAGCCTGATTTCTTTTAGGCTTGACTTAATTTGCATGATTGAGTTAATCCATGTGTGAAATGCAGTAGGGGGAGACTTGATTGAACGGGTGGCCAGAAAAGCAGTGTTATTAGAACATAAAGAGATTAAGATATGCATTGCTTCCATTTTCAGTAGCCGCCTACAGTAGCAAACAGATAAAAGAATCAAATTGATCATTGCAGTAGGAAAAGAATACACAAGCTAAGCAAGCTGTGTACTTTCTTCAGAGAAAATGCATTTTTAAAGGCACTTACTTCTTGTTAAAATTTTCCTAGTCTTTACTCTGGATTCATGGAGGGCAAGAAGACTTTCTCCACATGATATCCAATAACTCCTGCCTTGCCCTCCTTGTTAGTGGAATAAGTCCAAAAGTATATTTAGATACACCACCCATGCTCATTCGGATAATTATCTTTACCAAAAGAAAAAGTAATTTTTACACTACTTCCTAATGGCCTGGCTTTTCTCATTCAGCATTATAGGACTCAACACCCTCCCTGAAGTCAAAAATCATATTAGATTATATGTCTACATCTCTCTTAAAATTTCCATAGGATTATAGGATTTTAGAGTTGGAAGGGACCTCATAGGCCAATTTTGCACATAAAGAAACCTCATTTTGCATATAAGGAAACTGTTCTAGAAACATTAATTAAGTGACTTGCCTAAGGTCAAGATTTGAACTCATGTCTTCTGACTCCAGATTCAATGCTCTTTCCATTGCACTATATTGTTTCTCATTTGATGATGGCTAGATTTCTGCAAAGGCTATTATGTTACAAGATGGCATGTAAAAGTTCCATTGAATGACACCTACTAGCTAGATATGGAGTGGTGGTGTAAACCCATGCTGAATTAGGAGCTGAGAACCACCCATTGGCCCAAGGACAGAGAGCAGGGATCTGGAGGGAATTGAATTGGAAAGGGTCCAAGTCAGAGAGAAGAAGTAAAATGGTGGAGCAGACAAAGCCTGTAAATTTAGAAATCAAAGAAGGTTATAGAGGTAATAAAAACAAGGAACAGAGCCCTACAGAGTAGATTAGACAGACAAAAATAAAAAATCCGTAAGGCAGAACAGAATACCCAATATACATTGAGGAAGAAAGCAGAGACTATCTGGGACCAGAGGTAGAACGGGATTTCCTAAATAAAGGGGTCAAGAAAACTGGACTCAAATTAATGCTCTTTAAGCTTAAATTTCTACACCATGCATATCTCACTAATTGTAGTTAAGTTGGGTTTTTTGTGTCTGTATAATAGATTTTTAAGGAAGGGGTTATAAAAATTCCATTAAGAAGTCCAGGGATACAAGAGGCAAGAGCACCCCCTTGTGGACTTCCACTTGGTATCAGCAATTGAAACAAGGGACCCAAGAATTCTGACAAGGGGGAAATCACCAGGGGCAGTAAGCATTGAGCATGAGCTCCTCTTTCACAGGACAAAAAACTGCTTAGGAGCACGTAGAAGCAGCTTCCAGAAATTGCCATGACACTACATCAAGATATCTTAGTCAAGGCTCCCATTATTTCTGGTTGACATATATTTCTGCTTTTATTAGGACATCTAAACACTTTTAGACTCCTAGAGTTGGAAGGGCACTTACAGGTCACGCAGTCAAACATTTAGAAATATTT